AGAAATAAACAATGGCTTAAGATTTTAATATTGCTAGTTACAATAATTTTTGAGAATATAGCATATATTTGCATACAAATCAGGGGTGGGTTTCAGTTGGTGTTATTGCCGGTTTGCTCGTCATGCACAGTTCAATGGAAATTGTTCTGTGCATGTGCAGAACTAAAAAAAAAGATGGTGGTGACGGTGACTGGGGAACTGGTTCAGGGGCGTGGCCAGCCTGCATTGCTACTGGTTCTTTGACCCAGGCCGGCATTCCATTACCGATTCAGCCGAACCGGTAGGAACCCACCTCTGATACAAATGCTAATTTGCTTATAACAGTCAACTGTTCTTTTTACATTATTCAAATTAATGCAACTGAATTAAAATTGTAATTGGAGCAAATATCCAATTATTTTATCAAAATATCATACAGAAAATAAATATATGTACCTATTTGTTATAGGCAAGTGACAAATTTCCCAAAACAAGATTTTCATATAGATATAATTTTGCTATATAAATACTCCCAACTTAAGGCATCCATTGAATTTCTCTATTGCTCTCTAACAAACTCTGTCTCATATCATTTCCAAAAAGTAAGAATATGCTGTTGATAATTACACTTTTTCAATTTCTGCAGCATAATCAAATCTTATTTTGTTTACTCAGAATAAATCAAACAGAAACATATGTATATATCATTACTTTACTTTTCAGTTTACTTAATAGAGATGATTTACTAATAATTACACCAAAGCTATAGGATTCATCATAAAAAACTCTCACATGAATTGCGTCCAAGGCTAGAAGAAATGGCTTCCAGTGGCATTTCTTTCTTATTTACTTTATGCCATTTTCTCACTAGAAACTTTAATCTGTGGAGATAGAAAAAGACAAACATTAATGAACAACTTGAAACAAACACACTATATTTCTATATTAACTATTAATTATCAAGTTTACGTGCTGTCCAACCACAATATTTTGCTTTCTTATACTTGCCTTGTTTAAATAAAGAAGGAAACAATGGATTAAAGCTTTAATGGTTAACCAACCATTTAAATCCCATTAGTTCCATTAGATTTGCAAGAATTTTTATTCACCAACTAGTATCAGGAAATAATTAATGTAAACCCTTTGGGGAAAAAAGTACTAAAGATTATTTACCTTAATATCGCAATGACCACACGAACTGCAGATCTGAACTTGGTAAAAAAATGGCTTCGTGTTTCAGAAACATTCAGATCAGGAGGAGAAGGATAAATGCCCATGCGTGCTATCAGGGACAATGTTGCTTGTTCACATTCTTGAAATCCACCCAAAAGCAGAAGAAGGTATTTTTTCTGATAAACCAGGGCCTTCCTAAAACTCTCAGCTCTCAAATACTTACGATATAGCTTTTGTATCTAAATAAAAATAAAAAAGTAAAATAATAATTCTTATGGAAAGTAAAGAAACTATTCAAAAATACTTCTTGCAAACTGCTTATATTTCCATAATCATTTGTTTCCATCTATGGAAGTTTTTTTATACTGGACAAAGCACAGAAATTCCATCCCAACGGCTGTTGTTAAGGTACTGTAATTACTAGAACTAATTACAAGGCCTTAACAACAGTCATTGGGACTGGAATTTCCCTTGTTAAGTGAGTCATAAAGCACCAAGTCAGTGATTGCATCAACTGCATTTCTTAGCACTAGCAATCTTTCCACTCCTGATGGCTGTCATTAAGCATAAATTTCAGGATGTTACCTGATGACTTCCTTGGACTTTCTGCTACTCTTCAACAAGTAAAGGATTATTGTTGTGGGGGGAAAATGGAGGAAGAAGAAATATTAGCTATGTTTGCCAGCTTGAGTTACATACAAAGTAATAAAGGTGGGATAAAAATAATATATATATATATATATTGCTTCCTGCAACCCTGTCAGCGAAAAAGATACGAAAACGGCCACACACATGTATATACAGTAGAAAGTCACAATGAAGTGTCAGGCAGTACACACCCAGAA